AGGCGAGCTGTCCGGAGTGTGGGAACTGTTTATGACGATTAGATTAAAGATCTCTGCAATCCTAAAATGCTATGGGAAGGGAGGGAAACAGGTCTGAGACGTAGGAAGTGGCGAAGGAAGTAGTAAAGGTAAGCAGTCTGGAGTGTGGGAACTGTTTTTGACGTTTGATTAAGGTATCTGCAATCCTAAAATGCTATGGGAAGGGAGGAAAACAGGTCCGAGGCGTATGAAGTGGTGAAGGAAGTATTAAAGGAAAGCAGTCGGGAGAGTTGGAACTGGAAACCGTTTGTAGCAGTTATATTAATGCATCTGCAATACTGAAATGCTATGAGAAGGGAAGGAAACGTGTCCACGGCATAGGAAATGGTGAAAGAAGTAGTAAAGGCTAGCAGCGTTTCTGGCAATTATATTAATTTATCTATAATACTAAAATGGTATGGAAAGAGATGAAAACAGGTCCACAACGTAGGAAGTAGTAAAGTTTAGCATCGCCGAGTGTGGGAACCGTGTCTGGCAGTTAGATAAATGTATCTTACATCCTAAAATGCTATTAGAAGGGAAGGAAACAGGTCCTTGACGTAGGAAATGGTGAAGGAAGTAGTAAAGGTGAGCAGTGTGGAGTTTGGGAATGGATTAATCTATCTGCAATCCCAAACTGCTTTCAGAGTAAACTAATGATTTTCCCCGAGCAAGGCTCGGTTCCCAGGTACTTGCTCTATAATGTCGTAATTGCTTTCCAAAGGGTACTTTCCATATACCTAATGTTAAAAATACCTCAGCTGTACTTATTTGTATGGTATTCTTTCAATTTATTACCTTATTAAAATCAGGTGTGATTATTTTTTGGTAGCCTATGATTATTTATTTAGTTTAATCATTGGATATAACATATGGACCAACAAGATCCGGGTGACATTTAATTGCGAAGCATTAGTTTTGGCCTGAAACTGTCAGATACTGTATTTGCGAAGGAATAGTTTTGTCAGCATATCTGAAAGTATGCAAACCAACTGCTGTGCTTTATATAAGAAGGTTTTAACTGACTATGATAAGATCCCCGTGCGTAGAACGGGCACACAGCTAGTTTTATTAATATAGACAAAAAGAATTAAATATAGACCGTCAGCCGTGCTCCAGTTACCATGGTTACCATAGGTTCCGGCGCACACCGCTGTCTGTAGTTTACGTAGCGCGTACGCCGTAAACTACATGGCGCTCCAAGCGGTGTGCGCCAGAAGCTATGGTAACCGCAGCACAGCTGACGTGTTAATACTTATGAAGTCAAACGGGGAGAAGCCCGTGGGTAACAGCTAGTTTTCATAATCTTTGAGTCGAATCTTTTTAAATCATCAGAAATTATAACTGTTATTCGTAAAAAAAAAAATAAAAACTCCTGTAATACTTAGCAAATGCTCGAATTAGAGCAACAGGTACACTAGTTGTAAACATTACATCAGCTGTAATCTGATATATTAAAAGAATTTGATTTTTTCGGAGTTCGTTTGGCTCTTCCACCTGACCGATTTTCATGATTGAGGTCTCAAATTGAAGATATGCATGCATAGATTTGCCAACAAGCATCGGCATTATCTGTAGTCTCACTAGGTTTATACGTAAACGAAATTTGCCCCCCGTGTATTTCTCAAGGGAGTTAAATTTTTTTTTTCTTTTCAGAGTTCGTTTGGCTCTTCTACCCAACCGATTATCAAGATTTATGTATAAAATTGAAGGTATGCACGCACAGATTTGCCATCAAGCATCGGCATCTATTTATCTACAATCCCACCCGGCTTATATAGGGTGATTACCGAGAAACGCATGTTTTTCAAATAACTAGTATTCAGGCAATTCAAAGCAAAATATATATTTATGAGTGGAAAAACAGTGTACACAATATGCAATTTCAGAATAAAATTACTTACAATTTAGTGTTTAAAAATTACATATCTAAAGGTTGTCGCCTTCTGCTTTGATACAGTGTTGAAGGTGTTCCTTAATTACGGATTTTGCTAACATATCTCTAGGAATGGCGTTGATTTCCTGGCGAATAGCTTCTTTAAGTTTCTGTATTGTTTGTGGTTTGTTTATGTAAATTCTAGATTAAAAAAACCCATTGAAAGAAATCGGGAACTGCAAGATCCGGTGAGCGAGGAGGCCAAGTGGCATCACCAAAACATGGGATAACTCTTGTAGGGGATGTTCGAAGAAGGAATTCCATTCCAAGCAGAAGGCGACCATTTTAGAGATGTAATTTTTAAACACTAAATTGTAAGCAATTTTATTCTAAAATTGCATATTGTGTACAGTGTTTTTCCACTCGTAAATACAACTTTTTATCTGAATTGCCTGAATACTCGTTATTTGAAAAACATGCGTTTCTCGGTAATCACCCTATACGTAAACAAAATTTGCTCCACATGTATTTCTTATGGGATTTAATTTTTGTTACTCTTTTCCGAGTTTGTTTGGCTCTTCTGCCGGACCGATTTTCACGATTGAGGTATCAAATTGAATGTATGCACTTACAGATTTGCCATCAAGCATCGGCAAATATTTATCTACAATCCGACTTGGCTTATACGTAAACAAAATTTCCTCCCCGTTTATTTCTGATGGGAGTTAAATTTGGTTTCTCTTTTACGAGTTCATTTAGCTCTTCTACCCGAACGATTTCATGGTTGAAGTCTCAAATTGAAGATATGCACGCACAGGTTTCCCATGAAGCATCAGTTTATATCTATCTTTAATCCCACTCGGTTTATACGTAAACGAAATTTGCTCCCTATGCATTTTTTTAAATTGAAGATATGCATGCATAGATTTGCCAACAAGCATCGGCATTATCTGTAGTCTCACTAGGTTTATACGTAAACGAAATTTGCCCCCCCCCCATGTTAAGGGAGTTAAATTTGGTTTCTCTTTTCCGAATTAGTTTGGCTCATATACCCGACCGATGAGGTCTCTAATTGTAGACATGCACGCAACGTTTTCACATAAAGCATCAGCATATATTTACCTACTGTATTACCCGACCAAAAACCTAATTTGAATCTTTATTTAATTCTTACTTCAATTTAAGATATGGCGTACAGGGATATCTATTCTGACACATAGATAATATATTTCTCAGTTTGTTGAATATTAGAATAATTTGTTTATATTATTGAGCATTTTAGAGACTTATGTCCCTACAAGCCACTAGTCCTATATATTTTGGTCAAAACTTCAGTGAAATACCGACGTTTATTTAAGTTATTAGTTATTCAAATCGGACGAGTTTCAAGGGGGTAGCGGACTTTTATCCCCCTGGAATTTTACCCCCTGGGCAAACGTGACGTCACAAACCAGGGGGTGAAATTCCGGCCGCGAACTTTTGAGTTTCGCAACATCGGCTCGATGGATTAAACGCGGAATTAAACATATATTTTCACGGTTGTGAATTTAATCAGAACACATCAAATTATAAAAACCTAGAATGTACGGCCCGGATCTTTACCCCCGGAATTTTATCCCCCGGATTTTCCCCGGATTTTTACCCCCGGAATTTTACCCCCTGGCCAAATATATAAATTAGTGAGAATGATTAATTATCTTCATTCAGTTTTAATTTATTAGTAAACTTTTTATTATTAAGTAGCCTATCTAAATTTATTAACATTAACTAATCGGACAGTTTTTTAATTTTAATTTTGTGATTCGAGTATCAGGATTCGATCTTTGAAGCCAACTGTTGGTTAGCATGATCAAAATAAAACAACAAATTCTGTTTACTTATTTGTGATTACAAAATAAATAAATAAAGATAGGCTACTAAATAATGAAATGTTTAAAATTAATTAAAAACAGAAATAAGAAAATCAATCATTCAATTTCTAAAATCGGCCAGGGGGTAAAGTTCCGGGGGTAGAATTCGGGGGGGTAAAAATCCGGCAAACAACAAGCATAAAGGTGTTTCAAGCAAACACAAGGTGAACAACAAACATACAAATTATTTTAGTAACGTTTTCTATGATTACAAATCAGTAGCTCCAGTATTGTTCATGTTTTTATCAATGTTTTAGACTTAAAGTAATCAGTAAGTTATATGCTTTAATTTGAGCTATTGATCGTTTGAATCAGTTAAGTTCAAGATACTCAATCACAAATAATAAATTTGATTAATTCTCGGATATTTGATTTATTTTAACGCTGCGAAGCAGCATGGGGCCTCTAGTATATATAAAATAAAAATAAAAATAATTAATAAGTCCATACTAACAGAAACAATAAGATATAACACACGACCACGTTTGAATGTCAGAAATTTTGCTCCATCACGGAAGACAGCTTTAAAATAATCAGAGTTTTCCCACGATCACAGAGGACAATTATGATGTTTTAGTTACCGCGGGGACCTAATCAAAATGTTGCCACGATTGAAGAAACCGAAGACCATGGCTGCACAACTGCGGGAAACAATCATATTTTTGTATCGATCACGGAAGACGATAATGATTATTCCGTTACGTCAGAGATAATCAGAAGTTTGACTTGACCGCAGGTGACGATAGTGATGTCTACATGACCACAGGAGAAATTTAGAATTTAGCACGCATTGTGGAAGACAACGATGGTGTTTCAGTGATTGCAAGTATATTCAGGATTAGGCCGTGACAGAGGGAGACAAAACCTAGTTATGTCCGAGGGAAATATTTATGATTTTGCAACGACGCGAAAGACGATGATTGTGGGAAAATTTAGATTTTTTTAGACGATGATAACGTTTCCATAAACGCTGGAGACGATGATGTCTTCACGTACGCAGGAGGAAATGGTTGCTATCGCGGGAGATCATGAGGATGTTTTCGTTTCCACTGAGCGGTATTCAGCAGTTTACTGTGACCGCGGAAGACAGTGAATGGGTTTCCGTGATTTATGAAGACATTCACGGGTTAGCAGGGATCGTGGAAGATTATGAATATGATTGTCTCCACGACTCTGGGAGATGATCAGCATATTACCTTATCGGAGACTCGGACGGAGTCGGGTTCGAGCTCCAACATACCTCCTTCTGCCTGAAATTCAAATATATTCCATAAAATAATAACCAGGTTAATATTGTTTTTTTTTTACAATAGAAAAATATAGCCCTGCTTTTTAACCTAGCCTGAAAGTAGACAATTTGTTTTTATACATATTTCAATCCAAAACATAATACAAATATAGATCAAATATTGTAAAATTATATTTGTAAAACCTTTAACACAATTGCTTACAAAATTCTCAGAGTAGCTTCTAGGACATCCACTTCTTTATGTGTCTTAAATAGGATTTTAGGTATTTTCGTAACCATCCGTAAAATGAGTTAAGGCATAAAGAGCTTAAGGTATCACATTTCATTAAACTAGCCATGGATTTTGACTTAAGCACTTGTGTGCACACAACCACACAGAGACATCATACCAGCCCCTCTGTATGACTATTCTTCCCTGTTGTTTATTCTTCTCTGAAATATTTTTAGCTACTCTAGTTCACATATTGTGGAACGAACTATGCGTACCTAACCCATTCTTAAGATCTCTCGTAACTTAAAGCCTCACAAAAGGTTCGAAGGAAAATCTTTCCCTTTTTGAACTCCACAGCACCGTATCAACTTCAAACTAATTTGCCCCCTCCATTTGATCTCGAACAAATCAGTTTCACACCGGCGTAGCCAGACGTCTGCAGACGTATTCGGTGTATTAATACGTCGCCCGTGCACTGTTCACACCGCAGCTACGTCTGACGGCTACGTAGCCGGTGAGCCGGCTGTTGTTTGTTTTATTTTATTATTTTATATTTGCTAATTTTATTGTTTACTTTTATTAGCGTTTAATGAATATCAGTTAAGATTGCCACGGTTCAATTGCAGCTTTTATAGTACCATGTTAAAAGTATGTTGATAAATGTGTTAATGTTGACAAAAATGTTTCACTCTAATTTTAGGTCGTATATAGTAGACTATAAGATTCGCGCTACATCATAATATAAAATAAAATATTACCTGAAAACATGCAATAATTTTGCTCATCCAAGGATTACATAATAAAATATTCTATGGTGTAAGTAAGACGTAGGTATATGTCTAGAAATAATACATTAATGTTTCATAAATATCAGCCAGTTATTGGACTTGGAGAACATTTGAGGCAGTGTTAACCATTTGAGGCAGTGTTAACCATTTCATCTCAGAGTATTTTAGAGATGATTTAAGAAACCTGTAGCCTGCCGGAAGTATGTAAATAGTTGTAAATATTGTTTTTCTTTAATTAGTAATCGTGTAAAGTGACGCTGTCAATCCCACATTGTGGGTAAAAGACGAAGAAGGAGGTATTAAGCCCACTATATGATCCATAATAAACCATATTAAGAGAGACCACTTTTTTGATAAGGAAATTTACAAGCAAAATGTTAGTGGACGCTAGGTAGGCCTACTCGTATGATGAAGTGTTATTCTATTGATCATATAACGTTTTCTTAAGGTTGTTATGTCTAATTTGAATGTGATAGATTCATTTGATTTAATGATATTTTAAGTGATAGTGAATTTTTGTGTTATAGTCCAAAATTTCCCGCTTATAAATTAATTATGAGGTGGAGGGAGGGTAGCGGTGACAGCCAAGTGTGCTAGTGCGCATGCGCGTATTCGGCGATGCGAGCTACGCGTAGCTAGCCGGCGTAGCGGCAGCGCCGTAGCTTCCGTAGCTCACGTATTAATACGCCGGTGTGAACACTCTCTATAAATAACATTAAGAGCTACGTCAGCTACGTATTTCGAAAAAGTATTAATACGTCAGGCTACGCCGGTGTGAACAGTCCTTTACAATACTAGATTAAATTTGGGAGGGTCTCCTATCTGACTTCCACAATTTCTGTATTTGGTCATTAGAGCGTTGTCCTACAAAAATTAGCTGATATAGTTGTCCACAATTACAAAAAAAAGATAAACAAACGTTTTGTTGAACTTAGTTCTAACATAATTATTTAGTCACAGTTCTATCTTTTGTTAGAACAAGTTTGGGTTTTTTATAACAATAATTAATAACCTTAGAGCAAACAAAAGCTAGAAATTTGTATAGAAAGTTTTAACTAATACTAACAAAAGTTAACATCAAATTCAACTTTGTTGAACTTTTTTCTTCATTTTGTACAACCTTCATATTACATCCCACATTCTTTTCATAGTACGTTCATCGCTTTTAATACTAACATTTATTTGGAATTATTGGATATATACAGGGTGTCCATAAAAAACGTTTCAGGACTTTGGGAAATGAATCCCCATACTAAAAGGAAGAAAAAATTTTATGGGAAGGTATGTCCGAAAATCCATATTTACCCAGATATCCGCCATTTTGTTTTTTATACAAAAATATTTTTATCTGTGAAGTTTTTTATTCGATGATTATGAAACATGGTAAACATGTTACCATACACAAGACCTATAATAGAAAAAATAATAAAGTTGTTCCGATTGTAAATTTCAAAATGGCGGCCGTTTGAATTTTTCTAACTTAAATAACTCGAAAACGGCTAATTCTATGAGAAAATGTTAATAATACTTTTTTTTAGCATTTTTAATCTCCTATAAAACGGTACCAAGATCAAAAAGATCGGACAAAAGATAACTGAAATATACCGGTTTTTGTGTAAGAATAAGGCAAAAATTAAGGGTTCCCCGACTAATTTGCCTTATTTTTACACAAAAATCGGTATATTTCAGTTATCTTTTGTCCGATTTTTTTGATCTTGGTATCGTTTGATAGGAGATTAAAAATGCTAAAAAAAAGTATTCTTGACATTTTTTCATAGAATTAGCCGTTTTCGAGTTATTTAAGTTAGAAAAATTCAAACGGCCGCCATTTTGAAATTTACAATCGGAACAACTTTATTATTTTTTCTATTATAGGTCTTGTGTATGGTAACATGTTTACGAAGTTTCATAATCATCGGATAAAAAACTTCACAGATAAAAATATTTTTGTATAAAAAACAAAATGGCGGATATCTGGGTAAATATGGATTTTCGGACATACCTTCCCATAAACTTTTTTCTTCCTTTTAGTATGAGGATTCATTTCCCAAAGTCCTGAAACGTTTTTTATGGACACCCTGTATATTCTATAAATCAGCAGAGTTTTACTTGAAACAGAATGCAGTGAAATGGCATTCCAAAATACCTTTAAATGTACGATTTTTAAGCTTGAGAGTCAATTATTACAATAAATATACTACAAACTAAACAAGGGATACTGTTTTACTGCTTTTTGTTTTGAAATTTAGCCACCAAAACTGTCAAGTGAATGATTTAAAGAGAAAAAGGTACTAAATATGGTAACTTAGTTGTAAAAATATTTGTGAGAATAGTATAGAAAAAAGTTGTGTTAAGGATAATGTATTCTTAAAATCTGTTAGTTACGTAGACTTTTTTATTTCCCCTTTAAACTTACAAGAGACATTTGACTTGATACTTACTTGATATCTAGACCACTTAGTTTGCCGTGGAGCCAAAGCCTTTAAACAAACAAATGGTTGTTAACAATTGTAAAAAACTGGAAATTATGGTAAAATATCAATGTATTAATTTAACATTTTGTGTAAGATCCTAATCCAGTTCTTCAATGAAGATATTTCATGAAATGTGCAGGTAAAATATCAATGTATTAATTTAACATTTTGTGTAAGATCCTAATCCAGTTCTTCAATGAAGATATTTCATGAAATGTGCAACTGAGAATGACACACATATTGTTTTATTGTATAAAAATATTTCTTAAAAAAAGTGTCATTCTCAGATGACATGTTTTTTGTGTCATTGGAAAGAGCGTAACGTGAAGTTGTGTAGGAAACTAACTTTCTTTTTAGGGAAATAATTAGAGAGTGAGGCAATGGGGCCCTTAAATGTTTCGTATTCCTCCATAAGATTAACATGGGAAGCAAATATTAAAACTCCAGCGGTTTTTTATAAATTAAACGTGAGAAGAAGAACATATGTTAATTAGAAACAGTCAATAAGTTTGCTAATTTAACAGTTTGCTAGAAACATTAAAAAAAAAATTTACACCAATTGTTGTGTTTTTACCACTTAAATATTTATGAAGTAAAAAGCTAGATTTTAAAATTGTATAGTATAAGATAAAATATTATTCAGTGTTACTATCTTAGAGCAAAGACAAAAAGAATTAAATATAGATCTTCAACCATGCTTCGGTTGCAATAGGTTCTGGTGCACACCGATGGGAGTGTCATGTAGTACGGCGTACGCGCTACGTAACTACACGGCGCTCTCAGTGGTGTGCGCGAGAACCTATGGCAACCATGGTAACCACAGCACGGCTGACAGTATATATTTAATTCTTTTTGTCTATGATTAGAGATAAGGTATATTTTTATTACTCTTAATTTATAGATACTATCCATTTAGCTGGAAATGTACCTACATTCCTGGTTTTTATCATGTATTTTCTGATTGTTAACCTATATTTATGCTTACTTACTTTCCGTGTCCGGAAATCAGACTTCGCTTTTCCAAAACTTAGCTACCGATATGGCTTTGTCATTCGCATGTAAAAGATCATCTAATGTGCAAGACTGGTTTAGGCGTGGGCAGATCAGCAGATGGCCAGGATCCTGAACAGCACCACGCGCACACAAGATATTTTCTTCGTCTGGTAAGAGACCTCATTTCTTCATGTTTGACTTGCGTTTTGGTACCTCGACCCTGATTCGATTTAGGGTCTTCCACACCGTGTAATGCAGGCCTCCACCATGTGCTGTTCCATTTATCAAAAAGTCATCATATTGTTGACACTCATATTGTCCTCTCAGTGTAGAGACTTCTGATGATGACTTTTTGATAAATGGAACAGCACATGGTGGAGGCCTGCATTACACGGTGTGGAAGACCCTAAATCGAATCAGGGTCGAGGTACCAAAATGCAAGTCAAACATGAAGAAATGGGGTCTCTTACCAGACGAAGAAAATATCTTGTGTGCGCGTGGTGCTGTTCAGGATCCTGGCTATCTGCTGATCTGTCCACGCCTAGACCAGTCTTGCACGTAAGATGATCTTTTACAAGCGAATGACAAAGCCATATCGGTAGCTAATTTTTGGAAAAGCGAAGTCTGATTTCCGGACACGGAAAGTAAGTAAATATTGATAAATATTGATAAATATAGTTGAATAAATGTTAGTTGAAAATAAGCCTTCATTATTTCACTGATTTACCTATATTAATTTAAACGCATTTTAAAACAAACCGATGATTAGAATTGATAAATGCATATCAGTTGGAACATAGAGATACAACAGTAACATTATTGAAATGTTGTATCATTATCACTAACACTAGGCTATATCAAGTGAGTATCGCAATAACGGACACGAGGTGGGAGGTCATACTTAAAATGGGACTGGTGGCTTTCGTTAACTGTTAAAAGTAGTGACTTTCCAGGTTTATTGTCGGGCAGATGCTTTTAAGTTTGTGGAGCTATCAGTTTGTTGCAGAATTTTCAGTTCAATCAGCTGTTCTATAGCTAAGATTGTGCATAGAAACCCCTTGATGAAGGCCAGCTGCATTCAGTTTTGCACTATCCACCTTGAAGCCCTAGGTTACCTACTACTTTACTCAGTACCGAACCATTAACCTTATGGTTTGTAGGTGAAAGCTGCGCTAAACATTTATAAGTTTCTTTTAAATAACTTAAACACCATATTTTAAAATTTTAAAGTTTTGACAAATCATGCACCTATCTTGACAAAAACGCCGGGGTGGTAACAATTCTACTAGTAAGTATAATTTCCTTAGAAAATGCATTCGTCAAGTAAAAAAAATATTCAATTTTTGTTGTTTTGCCTCCAGATAAAAACTTTAATTATAGATAGAGGTTGAAATGCCTTAATCCGTCAATGTGATTAACGTCACTGATGAGCGGCGACCGTTTTTAATCCAGCAATGGAGTCATCCTCAGGCGGAGAAGGAACTAAAACCACTCCGGAGTGGTCGTCAGAAAGTCTAAAAATACGTAACGAAAAACAACAACACTAAATCACATTTTTACAAAAACACTTGGGGTCACAAATCGACTGTGCGGTGATCGGTGCCCTCTCTACTAGCCGTACTGTGTACATTTCGCCCACCCCCTCCAACACGCCTCATGAAGACAGCTGAACAACCCCAGAGCCAGAGCCGAGTGGGCCAAATGTTTTTGGAAATGAGCAACAAACACCCCCCCCCCTAGCACGGCCGCTCGCCCTGACAATCTGCGACAACACAAGTCCAGACTGTCTGACGATCTCGCCGGAGTGGTTTTATGTACCTTCTTCGCCTGAGGATGACTCCATTGCTTGGTTGAAACCAGTCACGGCTCATAAGTGACGTTGATCACATTGACGTTTTAAGGCATTTCAACCTCTAATTATAATAAATTAGTAAGTATTTTATACATTATAGCTAACAACCAAATTGCATAAAATGGTACCTATCTTGACAAATTATTTGTAGTTGCCTATATTATGGACCGTGGCCCACTGGGTTGTTAACATGATTGAAAATTGAAAATAGCACGACATTTTGTCTGTAAAAAGGCACAAAGAGTAAACACTATTTTGTCATGACAGAAAGGTCATATTCCTTTAAAACTAGATTACATCATCCTTTATAAGATACGTTGTTTAACAATGTATGTAAACGCCAATATTTACGTAACAGCCAATTTAAAGTATTTTATGCTTTTTGGAAATGCCACATTGCTATGTCATTTGCATTATTTGTTGCCAATGAACGCGCACAACCATATAAACGAGGAGGTCCCTAACAGTACAAGAATAAAAGCCAACTTCACTTCAAGTATATTCCACTACACCTAACTTTCCGTAGATGAATTAGCATAAGCCTTGACAGTAACCGTCGATTTCGACGGGTTTCACCTAGTATATAATAATACTAGATGTTCTAATTTATGTTTTATGGCAGTCTAAAATCTTAGGTTTGTTTTAGTGCAATATAATTTGTATGAACTAACAGCTGGATGGATATAAAAATATTCTATAGGACTATGAGGTTATTTTATTTAGTCTATGATTTTGCCATTGGTTATAGAAAATAAGTAAGATCAGTAGACCACAGAGATAAGTAAGACCATTGATGTATACAAATCGAGGCCCTACTCAAGAGCCTTTAAAGAAAAGACTATGAATTTTTTTTTTACTCCTCTACTTTTTGATGAAAGATTTTTGTTTACAATAAATGTTCTACTGCTTAAACTTTGTTTGAACTAGGCCTGAAAATGTTGATGTTATCAAACAAGGGGATCAAAGATGATCAGGAATCACGATTTTAAATTATTACCACAACCTTTGATGGGTTTTATCCAGATATAAACATGTATGACATTGAATCCTTTTGTAAAATCTAAAAAGTTGTTTGGCGTGTGTTCATGTGTGGTTACGTTACGATGCGCTGATGTAGGAAAATGTCTTTTTTATTTTGACTAAATATCTTATATTTTGAATAAATGAATATGGGAAATTAAGATGTAGGTACATATATTCAATGAGGGTGGGTAATTATCATGGATTTTAGAACGGATAACGAAATTTAGAACGGGTTTAGAATGGATTTTATATGGATAATAAGCCTTGAAAAATTACGTCACTAGCCTTACTAGCGTGTTTACTGTTTTAAATTCCTTCTACAGGTGACAAGTTCTTTTTCTAAATGAATGTTTTTTAACTGAACACCTGTTTCATAACAAACTATTTGTTATTGTTTTACTTTTCTTTGATTACTTATATTTAGCAATTAATGCAGTGTAATTGATATAAAGGATAGGTATGGACAGTTTATTTAATAATGTCAGAACTATTTCGGCATACCAAAATACTTTATTCCCGTACGTAGGACGGGCCAACAGCTAGTTTGTATTTAAATGTCAAATGCAAAATTCAAGTAACATCCTTAGTAGGCCTACATACTGCATTTTCATGTTATGTGGTTCAAAAACGTGTCCTTACCTCTTGAGGTTGATGAACCATGGCCATTGTTTGCTGTAAACATAATAGGTGAAACAGTTAGACTTTATTAATTCAAAACTAATACATTTATAGATAAAACTGTTTTTGTTTATGATCTTATCTTGGTCAAAGTCTTTTGGGAATTGGCTGAGTACTCAGGTTTGGTATAATTTACCTTTTTAGCTTTTAACAAAACCGATCTATTTTACAACAGTTTTGGCTAATATTAACAGCTAAGTTTGGAATATAAAATGTAAAATTATTGTAGGTTACAGAGGTTATTTGAGGTTCGTATTTTAGAAGTAATAGCATGAACAATTAGTTCTAAAATATGTCACCGGTGCTTACTAAGCACATTAGGTTTTTAAATTCAGAATCTTGTAAAACTATTTTGAGATGCTAGAGGACTACTATTTTATCCTATTCTCTAATACAAGCTATGAATGTTTGTCTGTCAGTCTGTAATTTAAATCCGAAATCTAGCGGAAGGATTTTTAATCAGGGTTTTATAGCCCAAAAACGTAATTGTTGAAAGCCGCTACCTTGGGAAAATTCGTATTACGCTACACAACTCATTTGGAAAATACCCCCGCCGCAGCAAACCTGCAGACTAAGCGAATTTCCATTTGACTGATTGGATTTACACTGAAATGTCTACTTAAAAATATAACATTTATTCCCGATTTAAATAGAATTAGTTTAACAAGTACTTAGGTTTGCTGCATTAGGGAGGGTAAAACTGTTTTTTTTTTGTAAAATGTTAATAGTTAGTAAGAAATAAAAACATTTTCCAAATTTGATCAAAATATGTTCGTAAACAAGCAAACTACAACAGTTTACTCATTCTCCATAAGAATAACATGGGAATTTTAAATTTAAAATTTTTTGGAATTTTCTCCGTAACCATTAGGCGCATAATAACGCTTCAATATACTAAATTATTTGTTTTTTGAAGCTCTACAAAATGGTTTGGAAATTAATTGCTAAATTTTATGTTTTTTGGGTCAAAATTGGGAAAAACCTATTTTTACCCCATAAAACCCCCCGTAAACACCCGTTCCCATGGTCCGATCATGCTGGATCGCGAACTCGTTCGAATAGACGTAGGTTTACACGTTTGTACCAAATTTCATCAAAATCGGATCATTTTTGCTCGAGTTATCGTGCTGACGGACATATATATATATATATATATATATATATAAATATATAAATATATATATATATATATATATATATGAATTTGAACGGATGGTGTTTTTGGCCTCTAGGGACCTCAAAACGAAAAAAAAAATCGGTCCCGCGTCCAGGTCTTACCATGAGTACTACGGTAATAGCTTATTCCCTATATGGGAAATTCGCTAAAAATAATAACATTGTCCTTATAGGTGTCTAAGTAACTATGTTGGTTGAACAAAATAACATCAAAAAGTAAACAAAACAATTGTCACTACTCACATGTGTTTATAACAAGCAATTAACATCATACAGCAAATAACAAAATATAGTAAAAGGAAAAAAATCTCAGTTGTAACTAATAAGCAAAGTGAAAGTAGATTACACTAAAAATTACTCGATAAAGGGGAAAATAGTTGAGCAAATACTGATTATTTGCTTAGCCCTCTCCTATAAAAAGTTATTCCATGGTGTACTGAGGCATTTCCACTAAACTAATTAGATATGGGGTCTTAATTAGCACAAAGATACTATATGCTAAATCCCAATGGGAAAAACAGATACAATCTCAATTTATTTAGAAGTAATATTGAAAAAGCGAAAAATCGTTGTCACAAGCATTTTTATACTAATATGATTTTGTTTATATCATATATCTGCAAAAGTCATACAACGGGTTTCAATATCTAGAGGGAAAATTCTAAGCGAGCTACACTTAAATTTGCAAGATCATAAAATGTATCTTATTTTTGTTTAATTGCATACTTTTACATTACAGAGTTGTTAATATTTGATAGATGTAAATGTCTGTCTATGGTTTGTAATAAAATGTTTTTCGTAAATTATTAAATGTTTGTTTACAATATTATTTTATTTTAACTATTAAGCTCATTTAACTATAACTGAGGAAGGCTTAGTTCCCTGGTTCTTAGATTGATTTGAAATTAAATATGGTTGAAAGTCAACTTACTTTGGCAACGTTTAAAGTGTCCTCTACTGGGGTTACCCACTCTTTGCATCTGTCCTGTAACAGCTAAATATTAATCATAATAAAACAAGTGTTTTTACACAAAATATGGAATAATATAGGCTATTTTAAGAGAGGTTTTTAATTGGAAAACTCAGAGTTGAAATACTTTAAGTTCAATTAAAAACAGTCTCTTAACAGCAATGCTCTTATTTCACAGAACATTTTTATTGTGGCCTCCCTCAAACTTTTGCCCTTCCAAAATGTTTAGGGCCTCAAGATACGTTTTTGTTCATTAATTTCTTCAATCAATTTGGGGGGATGATTTCGGGAGCAGCCCCCTTCAACATTATTTAGGGGAAAATTTAAACATGATTAACATGATTTGGTTTCCTGAACTTTTTGACAGGTCAGCAAAGAGTCAATTTATTACAGGGTGGCCGAAAAGTCCCTTTACACATTATTGCAGTTCGTATTTCACTGTAATAAACACGACTGATCAGAAAATATTGGTCCGTGAGTAGAAGGGAAGAGTTTGGGGAGAAAAGCCTCACTCACCCTTCCCAACCACCGACTCAGACCTAGGACGTGGAGACACTCAGTAGAAGTAAGGGCGGCCTTTGCACGAGTCACCCCAGAAATGAATACACAAATGAGCTAACGGATTTGGAGTCGAGTGAAGATTTGAAGAGACAATAGAGGTATGCATGGGATGTTTTAGACTAAAACGATGATCACTTGGTGTAGTCCACAATACATTTCTGATTAAAATAGATTTCTATGTTTTTAATCAACAACAATTGAATTTACATTTAGAGTGAAGGGACTTTTCGGCCACCCAGTAGGTACTTGGACCATAACTGTAAACTTGTACACCTTTCTTGAGACTAAATCTAGTTTTTTTTTTTAAGTATTCACAATACCTACTTTTTGGACTTTGCGAAAACACCATATTGGGTTTTATTCACAACTAGCTGTACTCACGGGCTTTGCCCCGTTTAACTTCATAAGTATTCGCATGGCTCAATCACGTCCCGGTTGAATTTCGTTCGCTACGCTCACTCACCTTTAGGTTGGAGCTCGTTTGCTGCGCTCACTTGTTTTCAGGTTAGCTCGTTCGCTACGCTAACTCGCCTCCAGGTTGATGTTCGTTCACTACGCTCACTCACCTTTTGATTGCAAACTTTGATAAAGGTTTTTATGTTTTAATATTTAACATTGGAGAATTTAAACGTTGTTAAGTGCCCAGGTGTGCTGCGATTGGGGTTTATACATTTGGACTCATTCAAAAGTAAAATAGTTTTCCGTGCTGCACTCTGTAGAAATACTGTGGCACTATTTCAAATCATGACTAATGCTAATACAGAATGTTGTAATTATTCAAACCTACAAAACAGTTGGTAAAAGTAAACATCTGCTTTTAAATTATATTTATTTGTAAACATTGTAGATCAAAAAGTCTGACATTGGCCCTCTTAAAACCCTTTGGGGCAGAGCCCTTTTGATAGATCTGCACCAAACTTCACTCGAACCATCCTTGAAAGATGCTTAATAATGCCTGAAAGTTTCATTACAATCTGTCGAGCGGTTTCGGAGTCCATAACGTATATACATACACACACACACACATACATAGTTCCTCTTTTATAGATATAGATAACATCTCAAAAGCACAAATTCTCATAGAAAACTATGCAACAATGCATATCAGCTGATCCTCCCACAGAACATCGGCATTGAAGTACGGAAAGTAAATCAGGGATGTTTAAATAATATATCAGTATGATACTACATATTAATACTGCGTAATAATACTGTTAAAGTATATAATATAAATATTATTTGCTTATTTTGATGTTAAAAATTGTCTTACAGTACTTATTGTAATATGGGTTGAGTAAAAAAAAAAAAAAAAAACACTTTGTATTATTCATCTTAATGTAGGTATTATTCATTTTTACGTAGGTATTAATGGTATTATCAATACTTGAGTGGACTTACCATGTCAAGTGAATGTTCTGTGAAGTTTGTATCACACTGCAACAGAAAAAAATAGCCTAATAAGGTATAATACAAAAAAACTATTTCACAATTTAGTTTTATTGGGATAGAGTATTCTGTGGATTAAAAAGTATACCCGCTGTATATTATGCGCACTAAGTGAGGGAACTTCTTGGTCAGTATTGTACGTGTTATTAAATTTATGGGAAGTAACTTACATATATGTAATAACACTCTTGAAACATATATTTACACTTATGCTGTTAACTAGTGAGTGACAGTATAATAATAACATATGAAAGACGGTAAGTGGAGATCAATTTACATTGTGCATTCCAATCATCATCAGACCCGATTAGCAAATGACGACTCAACTCACAACAGTATAAGTGTAAATGCATCCTATGTTTCAAGAGTTTTCTATGTATTTTATTTACTTTTTGGATAATTAAGTGTAAAAAAGAGAATAAAACTAGCCAGTCATTATTTTGTATGTCTATTAAAAAAAGTTCATTTACAATCAACGTGCAATCGGATTTTGGAAGAGTTTGGCAGTGGGGCGAATACAATACTGGGAATATCTTAAAACAGAATCGAACCCTTTTAAATGACACTAACGACATTTTCACACTCCGTTCATTATTTTCAAGATCGGTCATTCAGGTCATGATGAAAGGGTCCGTAGTTAATTATTTATATCAACAAGAATAATTCTTCCTTCTGCGAACTTCTTCTGCACAGATGACCAAAACCTTGTCTAGATTTAAAATTTAGAATTAGTACCTATATGCAAAAGTAAAACAGTGCTGATGATTCTATTTGCTATATGGTTTAGTGTGCATGCCGTTATACTACCTAGTTCTTATTGTTCTATTGTTCTACGGAGATTTGTACCTGACTTTTCAGAGAATACTACTATCTTGGGATGGCTGACATGAAAGAACTCTTAGCCTTTGTGAAGATCAGATTCAAAGCTCTAGCATAGTGAAGGTGAATGCTTCTTGCATTTAGAAGTTTGCTTTATTCAGGGTATCCCGTTAGTAAACAGTCAAACCCCGGAGAATGAGTCAAAATAAAGAAAAATGAAGTACCATTAAGGAAATTTTAACCAGATATCCGTCATTGTTTTTCTTTCACATAACTTAATGTTGTCCGAATGAAGCTTTATATTTACGCTGTAGCTACGTAAACAGCTACCGGCTACCTATTGGATTGATTTTGATGTAGTCACCATAACCATGACTTTACAGTTCTTCTTCTTGGTGAAAATTGATTGTTAAATGTTTATTTTCTTGTTGTAAAGTGGCTATGACTGGAATAAAAATATGTGTTTTTTCAGTGGGTTATCTTTTTTGCGGATGCTTGCAAGCCTTTTGCATCTGCCTTGTACTGATTGCATCCTAGTTAATTTTTTTACAAATCACTAGTTTCGACTTCTTGAAATCTATATAATTAATACGCTACATGAAACTTTGTCGGTTGAACTCCTCCGCCATTTCTTAACCGATTTTATCCATTGACGTCTCATTGGAAAGAGCGTGTCGCTTTGATTTGCAAACTGGCCTTACATTTTTGAAAACAACCCTTGGGCTCTGCCCCAGTGGCTTTGAAAGTTCCCATGTTATCCTTATGAAGAACATAATTGTTTACATTTTGATCAGCTGTATAATTTAATTGCTGTTATTTATTTTTCAATTCAATGAAACGCATTGATTGAGTACATTTATTTACTATTTGAGTTTGTGTAAACATAACCTCCAAGACGGATCGTGTTAGTATGGTTGTATCTTAAATTTGTGTATTTATCGTTGTTTTGTGTCGCTATGACGGATGTTGTGTCTTTTTACGGATGTTGTTTTGTAACGGATCGTGTTAACATGATAGTTACATAAATTTGTCCATTTATCGTTGTTTTGTGGAGCTATAATTTGTTTATTTGTTGTTTTTTCTTTTAAATGCCTCCGACGTGACGACAACGAAACATAGACAGGAGGCGTAATCGTGATGACGACCGCAACTACAGAACATTGGCGCGTAACAGACTTAACTCATCACAGTCAACACATGAACCTGGACAACCTCAACTATTAGGTTACAAATGCACCCTAACGCTGCCCCAAAACGATTTTTCTTTCTCAATTGGACCTCTATCAATGACCTGTGATGCCTGTACAGCGAGGCATTTTGAGAAGGAGAAGACCAGCAGGAATGCTTCTAATTTTTCCCTGTGTTGCCACAAGGGTAAAGTATCTTTGCCACCATTTATACCGTCACAATTCATTCAAGAGCTAATCGAAAACATTCATTATCCGAATGCTTCTATTCGCAAGAAATCACAAAATTACCTCAAACACATTCGCTCTTATAACGCTGCTCTTGCCATGATCAGCTCTGAAGCTTAACTAGACGAATCCTTAACAAACGGTGTCTACAACTTCAAAATCCACGATACGTTCTATCACCGCGTCGGCACTCTTGCACCATCACCTGGGCAAACTGCTACGTATGCACAAATTTACATTTACGATGTTGACACTGCCATTCAGCAACGAATGCGAATGCCCGCCAACCAAAAGAGTGATGAAGCCTTGATGAGAGAGTTGACATCGTATCTTGAAAATGTAAACCATTTCGTTCAGTCATTCAAAACTATGGCAGAATTAAGTCGGGACGAAAATGATGGCGTAGAAACTGACATCTGTATGTTCATGAAGAGAGACCGAAACGACGATCATAGAAGATTCAACGATGCCGTTCAAACTGATGTGGCAGCTATATTTAAAGCTGTAGATGGTGCACCACCTGGTGAGCGCAACCTTATCATATGGCACAAGTCTCATGGCGTTCGAAGAGTTTCCGTTTTGGAGCAATCCCTTGACCCGGCTTATCCATTGTTGTTCCCCCATGGCGATTCTGGATGGCACATTGACTTGACTCACGATGCCGCCATCAAACAGCTGTTCGTCAAAAGCTAACCATGTTACAATATGCATCATACCGTCTTGCAATTCGCGAACCATTCAGCATTTTGCACCGTTCACAAAAGCTTTATCTGCAATGGTTGGTGGATATGTATGTCAGGATAGAAGGCACACGACTAGAGTTCATTCGGAAGCAACAGTCACAATTACGAGCTGATCTCTACCTCAACATAACCGACTTTGTCAATAGAAGGGCAGGAGAAGAAAATGTTCAAATCGGCCGCCAAGTCATTTTGCCGTCATCTTTTATCGGCTCACCACGTAATATGAATCAAAACTACTTAGATGCAATGGCAATAGTGCAAAAATTTGGGAAGCCATCGCTATTCGTCACCATGACATGCAACCCGAAGTGGCCTGAAATCATTGACAACTTAACAATTGGCGAGTCGGTACATTACCGTCCAGACTTAGTCGTCCGCGTCTTTCATTGTAAACTGAATGAACTTATTGACAACATTACGAAAGATCAAATTTTTGGCGTTACTGTTGATGTTCGTGGTCAGAGTGTTGACAACCGCTTTGTTGTACCTTATAACCCTTTTCTCCTGCAAAAGTTCAACTGCCATATCAACATTGAAGTTTGCAGCTCTGTAAGGTCAATCAAATATGTGTATAAATATATATACAAGGGTTACGATTGCGCCAACGTACAATTCAGTCGTGACGACCAAGCGCAGATCGTATATGATGAAATTGACTCTTTCGTCAGTTGTCGTTATGTGGGATCTACAGAGGCCACTTGGCGCATTTTCGAATACGAGATGCATCACCAATCTCACAAAATTGAACGTCTTGATTGTCACTTACCGCAACAACAAACTGTATACTTTCAAAACGGCAACGAAGCTGCCGCAGCAGCAAATCCAAAGCAAACAAAACTAGAGGCATTTTTCAGACTTAACCAACAAGATTCTGATGCTAACAATTTACTCTACATTGAAATTCCGCAAAATTACACATGGGACTCTACCAGGAAAGAATGGCGTAAACGGCAGCGTGGTGGACAAAAGGTCGTAACGCGCCTTTATAATGTGTCGCCAAAGAATGTTGAACTTTTTAATTTACGTCTCCTGCTACTACATGTCAAAGGTGCGAAGGGTTTTGAAGATATTCTTACAGCTGATGGCATACTTCACGAAACATTCTTGGCCACCGCTAACGCAAGAGGTATTGTGTGTAATGACAACCAGTGGCAAGACACTATTGCCGAAGCAACAGCATCGCAGTCTCCTAGACAGTTGCGTCAACTTTTTGGAGTTATTTGTGGTATTAATATACCCGCAAATTGCAACGCACTATGGGAACAGTTCAAAGACCATTTGTGTGAAGACTTACTTCGTGATATGTGCTCTCAAGCAGCGTATGATTTGGGTCTTCTTGAAATTGAGGATATATTGATCACTCACAACACAAGTTGTGCTGAGTTAGGGCTTCCAATTCCGAACTGCCAGTCAACAAACATAGATAGTTACGACGTAATGGAACAAGGCGAGTGCTTCAATCATATGTTCAACATGGCCAATGACGAACAAAAAGCAATCATTACAGAAGTTATTGGTGCTATTGAAAAAGGACAAGGCGAAAAAGTACTCTGTCTCACTGCGCACGCTGGCTGTGGAAAGACGTATGTGCAAAAGACGTTGCTGTTTTATTTACGTTCAAAATGTCTTGACTGTCTACCGTGCGCATTCGGTGGCATAGCGGCAAGCTTGCTGGTGGTAGGCAGAACATTACACAATCAGTTCAAATTGCCTATTCCTGTCACTGAGTCATCGGTATCATCTATGAAAGCTAATAGTGCTGTTGCCAATAGAATCAGGCGTTCAGCATTGATTATAATCGATGAAATCTCAATGTGTCCGATTTACGCGTTGAAAGCAATCGACCGTTTGTTACGTGACCTATCAGTTACCGAAAATCGCGAAAAAATGTTCGGAGGCAAAGCCGTACTCCTATGCGGGGACTTTAGGCAGACGCTCCCTGTTGTATCACACGCTGGGCAAACAGCTACAACTGAGCTATGTGTGAAATCTTTAGAAGAGTGGCCACGAATCAAACAGCTCACGCTTACGCAAAACATGCGTGCGCTGCCACCTGAGCTTGACTTTATAAGCTTCCTCAAACAAATTGGTGATGGGACATATCCAATTCATTCTGATCTCGGCGATGATATAATTGAACTTCCTCAGAACGTTATCTGCTCAGGAGATATTATTGACGAATTATACAATGACTTTGACAGCATTATAACAAGCAACACTATAACAGACCGAGCAATCCTCTCTACCGTAGAATGGGGTGAATAGAAACACTTTTTGACTTTTAAGCTTCTGTAAAAACGATATTTTTAATTTTTAAATTTTCAACACTAGCTCATATTTCCGGTCTTGGACTCCTCTACTCAAACCAGTAATCAATTTTTTTTTCTTTTTAATCATTAAGCAGAAAAAAAAATAAAATATGGCTGTTTCTATTCACCCTGCACTTTGGGGTGAATAGAAACACTGTGTTAAATTGATGATTGTTGCTTTTCCCCACTTACCAGGGGCAATAGAAACATGAAATTTATGCTTGTTAGCTTAGGTTGTTGTAAATAAAAATATTTAAAGTTAATTTAACACATTTATATATAAGTACGAAGTATAAAAACATCGTTTTCATACCCCTTATCCAAACAAATCGGAGAACATAAATGACAATGGGTGAAATCAGAGTTACAAAATCTTACATAGAAACCAACTAAATGAAGAGTAAAATCTGACAAATCTTCCTCAAAACACAACACTCCCTTAAATCTACAAGTTGTACACGGCTTGGGAGTTGGAAGCCAACGTACTACGTCATCGACTTTGAAGAGGGCCTCCTTAATCTGTCTCTCAGAACTTGTTGGTTTGCGCAATTTTCTTGATAAATCTTCCTGTTTATCCTTCCTTGTCAAACTTTTGCAACATATAAACGATAGCAAGTTTTGTTTTTCCCCATTACTTTGACAATTACATGATCATGAAGGGACAACTTTGAAGACTCACTGATGTCTTGAGCTAGGTATGCTGGTTCTTCTTCATCAAATTGTTCGTCTTTGTCACTTTCTTCCAGTGAGAAGTGTGACTGATGTGGAATCATCTTCATCTCTGGTAATTTTTTTTTCTTTTTTGGGGGGTTTTCAGGTCTACCTTTATTTGCACCACTGGTTAAAAAAAGTGTTTCTATTTACCCTGGTTTTGCAAAATCATGACATAGCCTAAAATAAAAATAAAGTAAAAAAATATAGTTTATTCTAGGGCTAATCTATTAACACACTTGGTTTTAAGATACCTAAGACAATATAAAAAAATGGTTATTAACATAAATACATGTAATAGGTTCATACTTAGAGAGAAAGTTTTGAAAAGAATGTTTTTCGCCAAAATTTTCAAATGAGGTTTCGCATCATCCAACATCCGAAGCAGAGATACCAATATGCTGAAATAATTTTTCCCAGGTAGATAGGATATGGCTATAATGGGGGAAAATAATTCCCTTATATAAAGTCAATGTATAACAAAGTTATAAAAATGTGAATCATTCATTGAAGTTTTGTTTCTATTCACCCTGTTGTTTCTATTCACCCCATTTTACGGTACGAAAAACGAATTCTGCCATTCTGTAAACGAAAAGATAATGTCAAGGATGCCCGGAGATTTCACGACTTATTAGGCCTACAGTTTTGACAAGATAGTAACAGATGACGTTTCGGAGACACTGAATTTCCCAACCGAATTCCTCAATAGCATTGAATTGAGCGGATTACCACCTCATAAATTAAAACTTAAAGTCAACGCGGTCGTCATGCTCATAAGAAATTTAGACACTGCTAAAGCACTGATTAATGGTACCCGATTGAGAGTGAAGCATTTATATCCACTCACTATCGACGTGGAAGTTCTAACCGGAACGTCTTCGGGAAATCGATTTCTCATACTATGAATCCATTTATGTCCTTCTGATGCAGCCCTCCCCTTTGCCATGCAACGCACGCAGTTCCCAATCATACCTGCGTTTGCTATGACAGTCAACAAATCACAAGGACAGAGCATTGGCAAAGTTGGAATAATGCTTGAAGAGCCTGTCTTTGGCCATGGACAGCTGTATGTAGCCTGCAGCCGTGCACGATCGTTTGAAGGGCTGAAATTCATGGTCCGTGACACAGAAAAACAATCCCGGTTGAGAGGTGATGATCGAGTGTTCACTCGGAATATAGTATTTAAAAATGTAGTATAACCATTTACAGTAAAATGTTTTCAATTTAAAACTAAATTTTGTGTTACATTTATTATGATGCATCGTAAACCTATGTATACTGTATTATAAGCAGTCCACTATGCAATAAGTGCGCTATAATAGTGGTCCAGTACTATAGCGCACGTATTGCATTGTAAAATATAGTTTCACGTAAGCGTGCACTTAGGCTCATGAAAAACATTGTAATATTATGTGTCGCAGACAAGCACTTTCTGCATGATAATATATTTGAAAGTGTGTGTATATACTTCAGTGCGCATAAAATAGCGGAAATGGTGAAATTGCGCCATGCTAAGATAAAAATGGGGATATTTTGTAATAGCACTCTGATAGGCTGAAAATGGTGAATTTATGGTGGATCCATGCACTGCATGTAAATGTTTTGAGTTTGCCATTTCAATTATTTATTGCTCTGCTAGCGTAGCGCACGATTCCGTGTGCTCGGGTCCACTTCATGGCCTATTTTATTCTTTTGAGCCTGACATGTCCCTTATTTAGTAAAACTGTGCCAACCTAACCGATAGCCTACAATTTAGTAATAATCATTTTTGAAAGACGGATTGACTTTTAAAAATGGTATGAGTATCATAGCCTACTTAAAATAGTTTAAGAACTGAGCTTACAAAGAGGCAGATTCATACGGCGTTCAAGGTGCCCTGTGTAATCATATTGGCTTGACATAGACTATTCACTGTAAATTATTAACAAGTTGCGAATTTAACTTTAGTAGCTGTTATTTTGATTAGGGTTTAGTGTTTTAGATAGCATTAATGTTTGTTTAGTCTACTGTCAGCATAGAAACTTAATATCTTCCAACTACTACCGGTATTGTATTAAGTCAAAGAATAAGTATATTCTTGGGTTGGGTAAACTTTAGAAATACTTACCTTTCAATTGAAGATAAGACTGCAAACTGGCAATAACTACTTAAATTTTGAACTCTCTCTTGATAATTTCAGATCTTGTGGAACCACTATGTACTTGGAATTTATACTTTGATTGTTAAAACTGTGTATTGATGAAATGTTGTGTTTTTATTGTTTTTAAGAAATCATATGGCAATGCGACATATTACAGAACAATTGGAAAAACAAGAAACCGTAGATCATAACAACTTAGTTTTACCATTGAATTGAACCTTTACTACCATAGATCACCATAGATAGATTTGTATTACCATCATCATATATATTAATACCCCCTCCGCAGCAAACCTGCAGACTAAGCGAATTTCCATTTGACTGATTTGATTTACACTGAAATATCTACTTAAAAAATAAAGCTACACAGATCACCTCACACCATTCTACACTCATCCTTCACTCATATTTGGGTTAAAATACGCACATAAGTGGCGTCCCAATCTTAATGATTGATAATTAATAATTGATTTAACATTTATTCCCGATTTAAATTGAATTAGTTTAACAAGTACTAAGGTTTGCTGCGACAGGGAGGTTAAACTTTTTTTATTTGTAAAATGTTAATAGTTAGTAAGAAATAAAAACATTTTCCAATTTGATCAAAATATGTTCATAAACAAGCAAACTACCACAGTGTACTTATTCTCCATAAGAATAACATGGGAATTTTAAATTTATAATTTTTTGGAATTTTCTCCGTAACCATTAGGCGCATTGTTGTAAAGTTAATTTATGTTTCATATATATAACCAGAAGATTTGTTATTTGTTATGATTTAATTTAGAAGGCATGAGGAGATGCTCACCAACAATAGATGATGAACATTATCAGAGTTTGGGTTCGAGTAACTTTAAGATCGTTCCTGTAATTTTATCAATTAATAAATTATCTATTATTCAATTATTTGGACTATTTCATGCTATAATACGCATAATAACGCTTCAATATACTAAATTATTTGTTTCTTTAAGCCCTACAAAATGGTTTTGAAAGAAATTGCAAAATTTTATGTTTTTTGGGTCAAAAATGGGAAAAACCTATTTTTAACCAATAAAACCCCCCGTAAACCCCCGTTCCCATGGTCCGATCATGCTGGATCGCGAACTCGTTCGAATAAACGTAGGTTTACACGGTTGTATCAAATTTCATCAAAATCGGATCATTTTTGCTCGAGTTATCGTGCTAACGGACACACACACATATATATTTGTATCACCACTACTATATATATAATGAACTACTTTTTGTGGAATTTGTATATATATATATATGTGTGTGTGAATTTGAACGGATGGTGTTTTTGGCCTCTAGGGACCTCAAAACGAAAAAAATCGGTCCCACGTCCAGGTCTTACCATGAGTACTACGGTAATAGCTTATTCCCTATATGGGAAATTCGCTAAAACGTGATAGGGTTTTGTATTTCACGATTCTAAATCAACTAATTGGCGAATTTTCATGTTTTTTGGGTTGAAGGAGAGATAATTTTGAAAGGAAGGGAAATTCGAAATCATAATTTTTTTTAGTTTTAAGTTTTTTTTTAGTCTAGCAGCCAATGCTAACAATTTAAAGTCATTTCAGTGGTGGTTTAACTGACACCCGGTTTCTAACTGCAATTGAATTGTTTATGTACAATTTGTATGTTTGCAAAATGTTGATCGTTCGTAGGTGTTAGCCTACTAGGTGTGATTGCCTTCTACGTATTTAATTGTAAAATGTATTTTTTCCCTACCGTCAAGGTTCTGAGTTATCAGGAAGTGTGCACTTTGAGTTATACATCTCAAACACTTGCACGTAATCAAGTTTTGACGTAAATGCAAACTATTTAAGTATAAGTTTATGCCAAAATGGTTTATAGCTAATTATTGCGAAATATTCTTTTTAGCGAACTATCGCTTAATCGTTTACGATATAAGTGGTTTACGTGTTAATACTTCTTTTTCTTTATGTTAAAATTTTATGTATGTTGGCATGCCAACATTTTAGTCAGTAAGGAAAGTGTCAACTGGTGTGTAGGTCTCTAGAAAACTGTCCAACAAGCTATAAAAAGTTCAATAAAAAATGTCATAAAAATAAAAACAAAGCTGCAGGTTGTCGGTGGATATGTTTTGAACATTGTTTAAATTACAGCTTACTTTTAGCTTGTTTTTGTTATTGTTTTTGTTTCTAGTTTTTGACTCATGAATAAGTTCAGTTCTCTTTTATTAAACTAATTTACCTATCAATTTATGTATTTACTTCAAACATAAAACTGGCGACGAGGATGGGATGGATTGGGAAAATTTCCTTTGTTACATTCAAATACAAAACCGACATCTTATAGTGGCCATTGAATAAACTTGATTGGTGAACAAACAGTTAAAGTGACATTCAGGAAAACTAAAAGAGAGCTAAAGCTGTACGTTGCTGAATGTGGCATTTAGGATCTTTTAGGTAGAGACTGGATCGAGGAGCTTAAAATAAACGAAATGCCACTTAATTCATTACTAAGTGATTCTTTATGGGTTTCCAAGGAAGTTGATGACATTTCAATTTCAGGGTTTCAAAGTTCACGAGCTTAAGTAAATTAATTGATTTCATTAAAAAAACTCTTTTGTAACAAAAGTGGCCATTGTACACACGGCACACTTAATTTTAAAGGAAGACGCTTCTCCTATTCACAAAAAGGCAAGGCTAGTTATATTTGCAATAAAGGACAAAGTGTGCGAGGAAATCGACAGGCTTGTAGAAGCTGAACTGATAGAACCAATTGACTATTCTGATTGGGCTGCACCTTGTGTAGTTGTTAAAAAACCTTCTGGTCAAATAAGAATTTGTGCAGATTTTTCAACAGGATTAAATTAGGCATTAAAGCTTCAGAGGTTTCCTCTACCTACACCTGAGGAAATATATGACAGTATAAAATAGGTTTACGTACCTTACGTCGTCAATCCTTGAATAGTCTTACAAAGTGACTAGTTTCGAAACTGACGTTTCATTTTCAAGCCTCGTCGTCGAACAAGATGAACATGATACTAGTCGCATGTAAGACTATTCAAGGATTGATGACGTAAGGTGCGTAAATATATTTTATACTGTCCTAAATTAGTCCTGGAGGCAATGCTGAATGAAATATTTGATAATTTGAATGGAGGAGAAACATTTTCAGTCATAGATTTATCTGATGCCTCAATACCAGTAGATAGAGATTTGCAAGACTTACTAGTGATTAATTCCATCCAAGGACTTTACAGATACAAGCGACTTTGTTTTGGAATCGCATCCGCTCCAGCTATATTTTTAAAGTTATGTAAAACATGTTGAATGGGTTGCCAGGCGTAGCAAACTATCTAGATGATATAATTGTTACAGGGCACAATGATGAAGAACACTACAAAAATCTAGAGAATACTTTCAATAAAATTAAAGAGTTTGGATTCCAATTGAACAATGATAAATGCAAGTTTATGCAAGAAACAGGGACATGTCTTGGGTGGTAATAGCTAAAAACGGCTTACAAGTTTCGGATTCTAAAGTTCAAGGCATTGTCGATATGCCACAGCCATCAAAATGTCAAAGAATTAGAGGAATTTTTAGGGATGATTACATACTACTCCAAATTCATACCAGAATTTTCTAAAGTTTGTTATCATTTAAATCAACTGCGGAAGAAAAGAGTAGATTGGTTGTGGACAGACCAATGTAAACGCAGTTTCAATAAATTAAAAGCCTTGTTAATGAATGCACCTATACTAACACATTAAAATCCAGCGTTACCCATTCTTGCCGCAGATGCGTCAGCTGTAAATTAAATTTAAACACTTGAAAATAGAACAGTTGAGCTTGTTTTGATGTGATGATATTGTCAACCAAGAGAACGATCAAAATCTGATTAATACAGTAGCATCAATCAATAGCTAATTTTGTTCTTGTTTCTTACTGCTTACAGTAGAATCTATTGTATTGTCAGTTTGTTCTCCTGGTTATTTAAAGTAAATCACTCTCTTAAGGTTATATTTTTCTATATTTTTCTTGAAATCTTGTTGTCTCTAGATTTCTTACTACCTATGTACTGACAGTTATAGTGGAAGAATATTAGGAAAATCGACCTAACAAATTCGGACTAAGTGGAAACTTTGCACAGTTGTTTAGTAAGACTACATAAATAAAATATCAAAAGTCCCCATAAATCCCGGCTGTGCTTCAACTGCCATCTTGGAAAATGGCGGCCAATTTTCACTTTTTTGACAATAGTTCACAAACTATTGGTATTAGAGAATTTTCGTAATTACAAAAGTTAAAGAACGTCTAAAAATACATCCTTTTTATGTTAGAAGGTTTGCTCTATCTCTAACGGTTATTTAGATAAATAGTAAAAGTTGGTATACAATTTAAAATTCCCATGTTATTCTTATGGAGGAAAATAAAATTGTTGCAGTTTGCTTATTTATGGATATATTTGATGAAACTTGGCAAATTTATTTATTTTATACTAAGCTATTAATATTTAACATAAATACACATTGTATTGCCCTCCATATAGCAGTAAACCTAGTACTCGGTAAATTTAAAGTTATTTAAATATTAAATATACATCTTACATTTTTAGGATATATTTTTAGTAAAAATCCAGTCAGGCAAATGGATATTCATTTGTTAATCATATTAACAATATTTTTTTCTTATTAGTATTATGATTTAAAGCCCTTTTACTATCTTGTCACTACTATCTAACTACTCTAAACTTACATGGTACGTTATTACTCCCGGTATAATTTTTTTTTTCGGTAAATATTAAGAAATTGAACCTTAAAATCCGGACTAAATTGAAATTTTGCACAGTAAAGCACAGTAAGCCTAGTTGATGAAAATGGCAAAAGTCCCCACAAATTCCGGCTGTGCCTCAGCCGCATTTAGTCCGGATTTTAAGGTCGAATTTCCTAATATTTGCCGACAAAATAATTATACCGGGAGTAATAAGTAGGCCTACCATGTACGTAGTTACATAGTAGTGAAAAGATAGTGAGTGGACTTTAAACTGTATTACTAATAAGAAAAAACTATTGTAAATATGTCAAAAAATAAATTTCCATTTGCCAGACTGGATCATTACCAAAA